CTATAAGCGGGGTCCGTTCCCTCCCCCCTACGATGAATGTTCCTATCCTGCCGCCTGTACCCCTGCCGAGTTTGAATGCCCTAGGGCCAAATTGACTATTGCGGCGCAAAACCCACCCACTGTACACGAATTCCGGTCCTGCCACTCACGTAAGTGTTCCCGTCCCGTCACCTGTCTCCTACCAAGTTTGAGAGCTCTAGGTCCACGTGGACAGGAGTTATGAATTTGCGGCCCAAAGTTAATAACGCGCACGGTGATCCGGTCCTGCCACTTACCATAGGTGTTCCCATCCTGTCCCCCTTACTCCTACCAAATTTAAACGCTCTAGGTCCACGGGAACAGGAATTATAAATTTCCGGTCAAACACACACACACCGACACACACAAACACACACCCACACCCACCCGACCACCCACACACACACACACACACACACACACACACAGACACAAACAGGCACACACAGACACACACAGACACACACAAAGACACACACGGAAACACACAGACACACACACAAACACACACAGACACATACACACACACACACACACACACACACACACACACGGACACACACAGACACACACACACACACACACACACACACACACACACACCACACACACACCGATTCAACCGTTGTTTTTTCGCCGCGTGGGAGATACGAAAGTCCCATAAGATTTGCGGGTTGGCCAATTGTTGGCCTTGCACGGTATGGTTTGAAGCCCACCCGAGGCCTAACTTTGGCTTATAACTCGCTAACGTCCTTGTGAGACCAGGTTCTATCTATGCAACTTATATAATCGGCTAAGTGTGTCTGTTGGTTTGTTTTTGTGTGGTTTGCCTGACCGGAAATTCATAACTCCTGTCCCACTGAACCTAGAACGTTCAAATTTGCAAGGAATACAGACGACTGGATGGGAACACTGATGGTAGGGGGTAGGAGGTGACAACAATTGATAGGAACTGATAAGGAGCCTTGAAAGGCAAAAGCCACAGGCCCATATTTCCCTTTGTACTAGCGATGAAGTCTTGGCACTTTGGTAGGTGATGTAGGATGTGAAGGGACCTCAAATGATCAGTGACAGGGAATGATAGCAAGTGATAGGGACTGATAAGAAACCATAGAAGGCGAAGCCACTAGATCTGTAGCGCACTTTCTGTTAATAATGAAATCTTTGTATTTTCACAGGTAGGGCTAATGAAAATGGTAGAGCCACTATAATATTGGCACAATGGTGGAGTCTTGACAGTTTGACATCTGATGTGGAGTATGGCGGGATCGTAGACGACCGATGTTAGGAACTGATAACAGCTGTTAACGACTGATAAGAGCGCTTATCAACTGAATTTAACTCCTGTGGTATTTACGATGTATTTTTGATTACGATTATGATACAGTTTACGACCGCTACCCAGCAAGGTTTGTAACTCGGTGGAAGATCAGGGTTACTTTATGTTTTGATATCATTTAGGACAAAGCTCATCCGACCGCCAATAATTTGGGATTCCCAACTAATGATGTACCCGTAGAGGAAAGATTGTCCAGTGATAACGACATCTGATAGTGGTGTTATTATCACTTGAGAACATTTGTGAGTTCTACTCAATTCTTTTGTTGCCTATCAGTTGAACCTTTAATGGTTCATAATTTTCAAGATTAAGAGCAACCGACTGACACTTTTAATCGTAGGCGTAAGCATCGGGATACGCTAAATACCACTGACGCTGCACTGCTTATGCCAGCTCCCCTCTTTTTAGGTCCTGTGTCAAAGTTGTGTAGAGTGTGTCGGATTTCGTGCTCAAAAAAGCATCACTTGTTCCAAAAATTGGGGCGCGGGGAGGAGCGGTTGCCGATTACTAGAACTTGAAGAAGGAGGAAAGCCCGTCGTTGGCCGGGCGGCCGACTGCTTCTATATATAAAGCGGTGATTTTGTGTGTCTGTTTGTATGCCCGTTTGTGCGTCATTTCGAAAGTCACGTAGGCACGACGAAGAGTGTGAATGGCACGTGAGCGCGGTGGGGAAACAGTTGTGAAATGGGAAGTCAACCGATACTGTTCATATTGGTCCTCTAACAAGTCGTAGGTAAACGGTAGTGGGCATGTGGTACACGCATTAACGTGCGTAGCCTAACTGGTATATTTATCAGTCAGCAAGAGGAAAACTCAAAAAGAACATCCGATAGATGAAAGAGGGGAGCTGAGGATATACCACTGAGTCTCATTCCCATCGGTTTCTTTCGTATTTACCACTATTGCAGTTTCAGGATTATAATCGAGTGACAATCATAACGACCCTATTCACATCTTGCTTATTTTTATTATATTTCTTCTTTTCACCCAAAACTGCTTTACAGAGAAGTCAGTGGTGACTGGATTATATCGAAGTTTGAGACAACTCCACGGATGTCTTCCTATTTGTTGGCTGTAGTTGTTTCAGAATTTGATTACATTGAAGGATTTACAAAAACTGGTGTTCGGGTGAGCCGTTTTTCATTGCCATCAACACCTTAGATTAACTGGTAACTGGTTACATTCAGTTCCGAATATGGTCACGACCAGAGGCAAAAAATATGACAGAATATGCAAGGGATGCTGGCATAAGATGTTTGGAGTTCTACGAAAACTTCTTCGATATCAAATTCCCTCTTAAAAAACAAGGTCTGAATTGTTTATCTTGATCACAAGACAGTCTACAAGTAGAGTAACTGAGCTTCTGTGGACATATTTTCCAAGCTTCCAATTTTAGATATGGTTGCTCTTCCTGATTTCTCTTTTGGCGCTATGGAAAATTGGGGTCTCATCACATACAGGTGATTTTTACATAGTAAAAGTTCGCTCAGGAATTAGTAGGCCCCTACACAGAAAGAATGAGAGAGTATGGCTGACAACTTGAAGAATTAAGAATGATAAGAAGGCGGATCCACAGCGGATCAATTTATGTTCGAAGCTTCTCTATTAACGTCTTACTGTAGCAAAGCCTTGAAAGTTAGCGTGTCGAATCAGCCGGATAGTGCCGCCATCTCTAAAACTGTGCAAATGCTGTCAATAAGAGATTGGAACACAAAGAATAAAAAGCGACTTCCTCCTTCACTCAGTTATCCGTAGCTTCCACTGAGGAGCTGAGTATCCTACGAGCATGGTACAAGGCTCAGATCCAAGATCGATACTCGCTTAGGCAAACCGAGCTATTCATCCGTCTTAGTCGGATAATTGGACCAAAGTTTTTAGGGAGGATAAAAGCACTGACCTGTGCATGGGCTGCCCACCACAAGTCATTGTTTAAGCCATTTCAATCTCCCTACGATTCTAATCGGAGCCAATTGCAGGGCGCATCACGAAATGGGACTGGTTAAGACCGAAATAAAAAAAATTAAAATAAAATAAAATAATAAAATAAAATTTGTCCTTCACCTTTTAACCCATAAATGAAGAATATTGTTCTAATCAAATCAGTTTCAGAGAAAACCGACTGTTGTATGATGATAGATACTATGGACCGATCAACAAGCAACTGGTTGCCCTCATCGTGGCTCATGAGCTTGCCCATCAGGTTCGACTCCTTTGTTTTTGTATTTGTAATCTATGAAGGATCAGTACTGGAAGCAGACGGCCAACAGAAGGTATCAGAACTAGACAGCGGTCACTCCTTACCATTTCGTCTATCGCTCATGAGTAGAGAAGACTTTTCGAACAATTAAATCAGTCTTCGGTAGGAAGAACCGTATAGGTATTACACAACTCAATTATGAAGAGCCAAACTAAGAGTTAAATTGCTCGGGAAGCCGGAGGCAAGAAGCTAGTGGTGATAATTCTTTTTCACCGTCACGCATAAGATGGACACAGTCTTATCCTTGGTAACAGGTTGGGCTAACACTTTTGCCGTCATCAATTACGTACATTGTTTCAGTGGTTTGGCAATTTGGTCACGCTGACATGGTGGGACAATCTGTGGCTAAACGAAGGATTCGCAAGACTTGTTGAATACATTGGAACAGATGAGGTTAACAATAAAACCATCAGGATGGTAAGATTTGATAGCGAGACATAAATCCCTTTCAACGGTGTGACGAATAGTAGCAATAGTCTCTGGTCCCTTTTCAGGGCGACTTTTTCCTACCGAATGTGCTTGCAAAAGCTTTGGATGCTGATGCGGTATCTTCAACCCATCCGCTCTCGTTTAGAATTGACAAAGCTGCAGAAGTTGTTGAAGCCTTTGATAAAATTACATATGAAAAAGGAGCGTCCGTTGTGGAAATGCTACGGGCTGTAATTGGAAAGAAAAACTTCAAGCAAGCTGTTACGGTAAGTTCTCACGTCTGTCATTTTTTGTTTTGTTTTCTTTCATTTGTAATTTGTATAGTGTATTATATGCCTATGCGGGGCATGGTCGAGTTTGGCATAGGAAGCCTTCGAACCCTCTCCAGACAAAAGGTGGACCAGTGTTCCTCTTTCATCCCCACTGAACTCGTCTTCGAAGGAGTCTCTGGTGAACTGTGTGTAGTACCCAATTCAAAAACGCCTACAACTTTAGAGCTCGAAATTGTACAGCAAAGCTGTGGTGAGAATAAGAATAGGGCTCTCAACTTTAGTACATTGAAGCTTTTACAAAAAAGGTCGAAAGGTTTAGACCCTGCGTAGGCCTTTTTTGTACTACGGGACCGATTCCAACTATCTTATCCTCCTTGAGTTCCCTCGATGAGGACCAGATATTTGGTTGAAAAGAGTACTTTCAGCAATACCTGAAGAAGTTCTCATACCGCAACGCCCAAGCTTCTGACCTCTGGAACGTTTTTGACAAGGTTGTCAAAGACGTCAGCGGCCCGGACGGCAACGTCATGAAAACCACCAAATTTGCACCTCAGTGGACTACACAGGTGAGTTCTTTATGGTTACTTCGAAAGTTCCGTTCACATCACTCTGAAACTTTGGGACATTTGAGACAAACTTAAGGTCAAGTCATTAGGGAAATTATTTTAATTCTGTTCTGAATCTCCACAATAGCTAACAATGGAGAAGATGGGGACGGCATTTTGAGAATGAACGTTCAAGACAAAGAACTATCGTCATGTAAATGAAAATCTGGAGATGTAAGATGTCCCTTCTCTTGAGACGGACTCGGTGTTGGACTCGGTTTTGAGAAACAGTTTGACGAGTTCGACATTCTCGAAATAGTGCAGGAAAGCTTTTACAGAAAGAGTATCAGGGACTATCCAGCAGTGGGAAAAACTCGCTGACATCTGTAGCTACACTCTGATCATGGTTTGCAGTGGAATTCATAAAAAGCAAAACATTGGAATATTGAGAACTGAAGTTTTGAATGTGGGTCACACCTTTTAATAGAGCCTGCAAGAACGTTTTTCTTCTAAATTTTTCAGTTGGGATTTCCTCTGGTTACTGTGAAAGATTTCAACGGAACTTCTGTGAAAATAGCTCAAACTCGTTACAAGGCGAATAAAGGCGCCCTGGAGCCAGAGAAGTATCGCCATCCAAAATACGGGTGAGCAAAAAATTTCTCTCCTTATTTTTCCCGAATATGACAGATTTTACAGATTCAAGTGGGATATTCCTCTGTGGTATCAGGAAGGCGATAACAATTGTATAAAGTTTGCATGGTTGACTAGAGGTAAGAAGTATTTCTCTCTCTCCATGGTAACGTCTCATATCCATTTACTAGCCACACTACGGCTACCTCTGTCTTTAAGGGGTGAAATTAGGGTAGACATTAAGTCCGGTTGTGGGGTCTTATACGCGAACAAAATGTCACCCTCGCCACACTCGCGGTGAATTTTGTGCGCAGTTTAGGGATAAAATTGAAGTTCATGGTTGATAGTAAGGTATTTGCCACATGCTGCGAGCATGTCTGTAACCCCGGGAATTCGGGTACAAAGTCTACCATGAAATTTTGAAGAAGCTATAAAAATGCTCAGTTCTATGAGCGTTCAATTTCAGCGAAATAACTTTCTTTTGATGTAATGTATAACTACATTCCAGAAAAACCGCTCTATTTGCACATTACCAACCCTAACACTTCCATTGTGGTGAATGCGAATCGCCATGGATTTTATCGACAAAACTATGATGCGGACGGTTGGCAAAAGATCATCAAACAGCTCAAGAAAAATCATAAGGTATGTAGTGATCAGTAGAGCGTTCAGGGACATCGCTACATTAGAAAACCAGTAGAAATTGTAGCTTGACCATTGTGCAGGCTAGTTTCTCTGCTAGTTCGACTGTTAGACCGATTTCGCAATCGTATGTCTGTGGCATCTTTCCTAGTCCACGATTTTGCGAGTCCGCGACCGGTAGCGATCAATCGAGCGACCAGTCGCACGATTGGTCGCTACCGGTCGCGGACTATGAAAGCAGCCTGTCCTGCCGAATTGGTGAAATCGGATAAGCCAGCGGAGCCGTTGAAAATAGGAAAAATTTCGATGTTGTTTTGGGCGTTAAGGCAAATCAGGTGCTGGACCTCGCTAAATATCGCCATTCAAGCGAGAAAAGTGGTGAAGAATGGACTGTACTTAATCCCTACCCCCTGTTAAAGCAAATCAGGTGCTGGACCTCACTAAATATCGCCAATCAAGCGAGAAAAGTGGTGAAGAATGGACCGTACTTAATCCCTACCCCCTTCGCTATCCTTCCCACCCACTTCCTCTCATTTCACTTCCTCCGACGCACTTATAACGCCACCCAGTCTGGGCATTGCCTTGTCAAATAGTATTCCCTGCTCAACCTTGATCGGCAAGGTACAACGTCGACAGCAGCATTCTATTGATACCCATTCCATCGACCCTTCAGGTTTCTTTCCACTCTATTATTAAATCATGTCCTTTTATAATTCCAAAAAAATCTCAATAGAAACTTTATTCAGGCATACAGTGCAAGGACGAGAAATGCGATTATAGGTGATGCTTTTGCAGCGGCTCTGATTGACGAACTCGAGTACGCAACTGTATTTAAACTGCTTGAGTACGCTAAGAATGAAGAGGTTTTTTTCGAATCTCACTCGACTGTTATCAATAGAGTCTTCACCGACGTATATTTCGGTCTTTCCAGGAATATTTGCCATGGACAGAGACAATATCTGGTTTTTATGCCATCTTAGACTTCTTCGGGAATGAGCCGGAGTCGACATCGGCTAAAGTGAGCTCATTAGGTTGATATAAATCGTGGGAAACCCTTGATCAGAATTAAAATTTTAGGTCTTCATGATGAATATACTGAAACCGATGTATGAGAAAGCCAGCATGAAATATATCGCCGACAACTACAAAAACGACTCGCTATTCTTTGAAGTGTACGTCCGATATAATCAACTCAACTACTACAACTATCAACTATCAACTTTTTATTGCCATACAGCGGTGGGATTAAATACTGTAACTAGAGAAAGAACCATCTCTTACCTTTTTTCTCAATTGAGTCTTTTTTAATTGAAGTGTAGAAAACGAGTAACTGGAGAAAAGCGAAGTCTGTGCAGCTTCAAAGTTCAGGACTCGCATATAAAAAAAAAACCCTTCAACAAATGCAACCTCAAGCAAGCAGTCCTTTAAATCAGACCAGTGTCTTGGTTTAGGAATAATGAAAAGCTGTAGGACTTCTATCACCTGTTGTGCCGTTGATCATCGATTTGCCCTACAAGGGAAGGATACTTGGTCGCAGTGGCCATTCAAGGTGTGATGTATACCCCCGTAGGTAGTTTCGAACGCTGAACTCAAATCTGTGCAAACGTTGGTTTTCTTGATTGAACTCGGACGAGATTGATAAAATCCTTTATTTCGGCTTACGTTTCGGCGTGGATCGCCTTCTTCAGAGCCTGGAAAGATCGAAGCAATTATGACTACATACATACATACATACCCGACCAAACGCCTTAACTACCCTACGGAGATTGGACACCTCAGAGTCATCACGCAATTGTAAGTTGGGCCAC